TAGCTGGAAATCCACCAGATTTCCAGCTCTGGTGGAACTCTGATGGAACTCTAGAACTCTGTACCACAGACAGGCTGCAAAACCAAACCAAACCAAACCAGTATTTCAAAAAGTCCTATTAGTTACAAGCCCTTCAAAAAAGAAAATAAAGAAATTGCCAAGAACAAAACTTGCAGTTATAATTCATGCATATTTTGATCACCATTACTCTAGAAATAACAAAAACAACATTATCAAAGAGAAGAAATGAAGAAAAACTCCAAAATACAGCATTATATTCAAGGTTAAAATAATAGTATACAAATAGTCAAATGAAAAACTTCCGCATGGTTTAAAAAAAACCAAACCAAACAAAACTTCTGAAACTACTCTAGCATCACAAAGAAAAGAAACTTTTGTTCTCAGGGGAATTGAGTTATAAAATGAGATAGGTGCGTGTATATTAACAAATAGTGTGTGTACATATAAATATACACAAACATTTAATTTGTCTTCCTGAAATAAATGACAGGAGGATGTACCAATATATATCATTGTACTGTACTCTCTGCTATGATAGGGAAAGCCAAGCAACTGATAATAGGCAGCAAAGAAAAAACAAAGCATGAACACTGACTTGATTCTTCTTAGTGTCTCTTTACATCCCAGCTCTGAACATGTTATGAATCAGTAACATATTTAGTAAAAAAGATATCAGAACCGTTTTTTGGTTTACTACTTCAGGTACTAATAGCACTAAACTTATTTTAATTCTTACCAATGCTAAAGTCAAACTGTACAGTTTTTACAATTCTTACCAATGCTAAGTCAAACTATACCCTTAATTTTCACTAATTAAGGGTAAAAAGGAAAACATTATTCTATGCTTTGCTGTAAGCCTTTCAAAATGTCTTTAAGAACAAACAAAAAATTAACTCACACTGGCCACACCCTCCCAATATAGCTTTTCCCAGTTCTCAACTTCTTGATTAACACCAGCTATGAATTCAACCAGGCGCAATCAAGTCGTTTACTTGGACATAAAAAGAACATTAATTTTGGGGTATGTACATTTCAAAGAATATCTGTACATCATATTATATATTGATTAATGAATTATATTAACTTAAGCATTGTTATTTGATGCTGTCACTTGTACAAAATACAATAAATAGCATCAAGAGAGCCTGAAAAGCAAAGAATTAATTACCAAGATTATCTCTGCATCCACATTGGAATGGTTGCTCCTAAATACCCGGACTGCATTCAAAATGCATGTATTCAGACTTTTTCCCGGCGTGCAGAGTAGAGCTCTCCCTCATAACTTTTTCAGTCACTGGAGTCGACCAGCAGAGCACCAAGGGCTGCAGCCGGGCACCGCTCAGCAGAGAAGCTGTGCAAAGCCTTGTGAGTGCCCCTCGAGCAGCCTCCTGCTGCACACACACACAGGCCATCTGCGCGCTGCTGGAGCTTCCACACGGAATGCAAGGGGCTGCTAGGCAGCTACAGAAACTCACATTACTGCTGACCGACCAGCCACCTCTTTCAGGGACGTCTGTAATGCATAACGAGGATTTCTTCGTTTGAAGGCTCAAATCACACCGGGGAACGTGTGATTCAAAGTACAAGCAACTCCCGTCTGACATAAAGCTCTCTGCCACACTTGCAATTATTAGGGAAGGTCCTGAGGATATTTCCTTGAACTAGCAGTTCATCCCTCCTATTTACAAATTGCTCAGTGACAACTCTTCCCTTTGGATGTGACTCATGAGCCTTGGTTTGCTCGTGCCAGAACCTGCAGCTTTTTGGGCATGTATTGCAAAACCTCACCACCAGAGCCCCTGCCTCCCGCACCTCCCCATTTCACACTATGAATACTCAAAGTGGTTTACTTCTCACTTCATGTCTCTTAGAATGTAACTAATTGCACTGGAGACAACATTCATATTTACTACATTTAATTTTACCATAAACTGTAATTTACTGCAACCAGTACTAAGATTTTATGCAAAGCTCCAGACAAAAAAAAAACCCCAAAAAAACCAACCAAACAAAACAAAAAACAAAACAAAACAAAAAACAAACAAACAAACAAAAAAAAACAACAAAAAACCACACAAAAACAAAAAAACCAAAACAAAAGACCCCTTTTAAAAAACCCAAAAAACAGGGTACAAAAAACCCCCCCAGCTCTTTCCAACATTCTTATTCCACAATTTGATCAGTAGGTTAAAAAAAGTGTTTGTTAAATGTTTACCTAAACTCAACAGAAAACTGTAAGTTTCTTGAGTAGAAATCCTTCAAGAACTGAGCATATAGAAAACATATACACTTTTGCAAACAGGGCCACAGGCTAGTAGACTTCCACTCTGATTCATGGCAGTCCCACTTGTCTCCTTACGTGCCTGGGCACACCTCCACACATGCACCACCAAGGTGGCCATTTCCAAAGACAGGCTGCATGTCCTCAAGTCAGGGGCAACTTAAGGGCTTGATCAGCAGCTTGACAGAAGAGTGTCATGAAAGGGATGACAGGTTTGAAAATATCTCCTGTGGCTCCGCAGCCACTACTGACAGGTGACCATACGAGTGAAAATGCAAAAATGTAAACTAACATTTGGAGCATTTATGCAGGCTTTTGAAAGGCTTGCATTGTGCTACAGCCTTCATTGCTTCATATCACCACTACTCGCATGCATCTGGACGGGTTAAAGGCTAGCACAGCTACACCTTTGTTTTGCTAGCATGCACACAAATGTATATATATCTATGACTAATTCCACTGAGAACCACAGGACAACTCAAGGACGTGCAAGTTACCTACTCCTTTGTATACATGCCCTAAGAATCCTAGCCAAAAACTCTCTCCCACCACATAGGTTATGAAAACCAAAAGACTTAGCATAAGGAATGACTATTTGTATCACTGCCACAAATGAATCAAATCAAATCTTTAAGAACCACTCCAGAGGTAATTTTGCTGTTAAAAATCCAGATTGTCAACTTAGTCAAGACATGACATACAATTTCAAGAAAAATCTACAAGTAGAACATCACAGTAATGAACGCATTACCATATTTTTTTCATGTTTTATTAAAACAAAATGCTCCAATAAACTTACAGAAGGATCACTAAGATCGTTTGTCAAATGACAAAAAAAAACCCACCAAACCAACAAACAAAACACAAAAAACACTGTCAGAAGATGCCTTCATTCTTCATTACCAAAGCTACATATATTTTACATTAACCACTTTCTTGACAACCTGAGGAAACTAGGAAATATGTGTGTCTTCAGCTAAAATATGTTTTAGTTGAACACCAAGAAATTTTTTAAAAACTTTCCATTTTTATAGTAATTTTCATTGCAGTGCTCAAAATACTTTACAAGCCTTTGCGGCTTTTATTAAGACATCAGCTATAATAGCTGAAGATAACACTTCCAGAAAATTGTTTGTGATATTAGAAAGGCCAGTCTCTGAGCACCAGATCTGAAATCGTTCAGATCTGTCATGAATTCCAAGTACTCTCAAAACTAATGATAAAATAACTGAATAAAATAATCGCTGATAAAAATAACACGTGACCAGAATTTCTGAAAAACAAATCTTAGGAAACTTAAGTTGTACCCACAACAACTTTGGCATTATTATGATGTTCTTTAAAGTCTTAGTTAAAAGCCTTGCTAATACAGTGTCAGTGGCACACTTTCTCAGTGCCTCATACTATCCCACAGCCAACACTGCCTCCAAGATCCCTGAACCAGATGCAACTTTTAAGATAAGAGTTGAAAAAGCATGCTCTGAGCGAATCTGTGGTCTGGTAGTTCGTTCAAGCTCTAAGTTTTTGCAGCCCCAGAAACTCTCCTCAATACTCTTCTCTCCATTTCCAAGCCAGCTAGGCGAACTGCAATTGCTTATTTTAACATAGGTCCTTTTCCCACACAAGCACACAAAAAAATTGACCAGAGCAAGAATTATACTAAATGTGCAGGACTGTAGCAAACCTGAGTAGATTTCACCTGTATATAATCACTTTAGAAACATGAACCCGCAGATTCAATGAGCTTTCAATTTCTGTCTGCTGTGATTTCAGAAACTACTAGCGGCGTTATTGCTGAGTATTTCAGATCTGTGATTTCTACGATCAGCCTCACTCCACTTCTCCTACCTTCCTCTTCTAGTTCTATGAAGTCAGTCTAAGAGGAACGTGGCAGTTCAGTGCAGAACACATTTTCTTTTTAGCATTTGCAATGCAAAACTAGGTTTTGTTCGGTACAGGAATCTTGCACAATAGCCTGTGTATACGTATTCGTTCCAACAATGCTGTCCTATGCAATCACTCTGTAATTACACACAGTCATAAAGCTGCTGCTGTTGCTGCCTGGAACTGCAGTCTCGCCCTCTAAACAACCTAATAGTCTCTGCATTAGGACATTTCTTTTTCTCTCTTCCCCTCCCTTAACTGCTTGCTCCAGTACAGATGGCCTTTACACTAAGCTCAAAGCACGTAGCCGGAATGCAATCAAGTAATTATTAAAAAATTGGATGTTTTAAAAAGAATGTAAAATAAATCTCTGTTGAGCAAATAGAATATTTTACTAATTCTGCAAGCTGCAACCACACAAGACTTTACAAACCAAAAATAAATCCTGCTTACGCCTGTTAAAAAAAAAAAAAAACCGTAAGTATTATATAAGACTCTCACATACGCGCGTAGGTGTATTGTCAGCTTTTACTGCTAAACTGCAACGAATCGGTCTTTTGCAGTTGCTGCCAGAAAAGAGATGTACACTTGGGAGCACGGGATTTTTGAAAAATTATCTAACAAATTCCTCCCCACCCCCCTCCACCGCGTAAAGCCCAGCAGAGCGATCCGACCCTGGCCACGATGCGCGCTCGGCGGCGGCCGGGACCCGGCGGCTCCCGCGCAGCACCCGGGGCCCCGCACACGCCGCGAGCAAAGAGAACCTTCCCGCACCCCAGCCAACCCCCCCAAAATCCACCCGCAGGCAGCTCACCCGGACACAGACACATCCTGAGAGCGGTGCTGCAGCCAGGCAGCCGCGAAGAAACCCCTCCGGAGCGCTCGTAACAACTCAGGGTACGTAACAAGTCAGGAGGCGGCGGCTCAGCAGCCGAGCCTGGTCCCCCGCAGCAGGCGGGCCGGGAGTGCCGCTGCCCCGGCCCCGTGGGGCTGCGCGGCCCGGGCGCGGAGCCAGCCGCACTCGTCACCTCCACAGGTACTTCTGCTCCTCATCCTGCACCCAGCACCCACAAACAAAGCACGCATCACGACCCCCAAAAGAAACTCCCCAGGAAAGATACCCCCTCTCCAAAATGGCAGGAAAACGGAAGCAAATTGTGCAAATTGAAAAAAAAAAAAAAAACCAAAAAAAACACAAACGCGTGGAAAACAGAAGAAGGAAGAAAGAGAACGTGCTGGCTCACCTGCGCAGCCAGGCACGGCGGGCGCCGCGGGGGAACGTGGAGCGGCTGTTTGCAGAGGGGGGCGGGAGCGAAGAAGGAGGAGGGGGGGAAAAAAAACAAACTTTGTTTCTTTCTCTCCGGGACTCAGCGAAAGCGTCACTTCCTAGTGCAGTAAGCGGGGAGGCTCCCGGGCTCGGGCTCCTCAACTCCTCCTCCTCCTCCCGCCTTCCTCCTCCTCCATCCGCGGCGCAGCTCCCCGGCGGCCCTCAGCGCCTCATCCCGCCACGGGCCTGGGCCCCCTGCCCTTGTCCACAGATCGCGGCTTGACCTTCTGCGCTTGGCTGTCGCTGCTGTTGGCGACGAAGGAGAGGAAATCCCCAGCGAGTGAGGGGCGGGCAGAGAGTTTGCAGCATTGATTTGAAAGCCAAGCCCTGCAAAATACTGCCGTGTCCAATACCCGGCGGAAAGCGCCTCTTTGATGTCCCGAGTTCAGAGCCAGCCTCTTCAGCGAGATTAGGCTTCGTGTCCTTTCTCTCTAAAAGAAGAGAAAAGCAAACAAAGAGCTTTTGGGTTTTAAGGAAACCCTTGTACCAAAGGAAAACATCTGCTTTTCTGTTTCCCCCTTTCGGTCCCTTTTCTCACTTTTTCTGAAGAAAAAGTCGGGGGGGGGCGGGGGAAGGAAGGGAGAAAGGATGTTAGTCCAATGCAAATCCTCAGGTCATGTCTATATTGTTGGCTGTTTTACCAACACCTGAAATTTACTTTCACAATAACTCATACTTCTGAGGTTTCTAAAAATGTCCAGCTCCTCTTCTGGAATATGGCTTCCTTTGCTGCCTTGGTCCCAGAATCAAAAACACAGTGTGCTGACAAATGCAGGCACGCCACTCTACCGTACTAAGGCAGGAAATAAGGAAGCTGCTTTGTCATTGCTCCCTCTGTAGACTGCTCTGCTACTTGAGTTTGTTAACAATCAGTGAAACTTCTAGATTATAAAATAACCTTTAGACAGCATTCACAGATTAGACTCACATTCAGTGAAACGTCAAGCAACATGAAGATGCCAAACATTTTTCTTCAATGTGCACGTTGCCACATGTTTACCTTCATCCAGGCTCAGATCATTCAGTGCACAAAGCAGCATTGCTGGATTTTGGGTTTGTTTTTTTTTTTTCAGACCAGCAGGACAGTTTCCCTTCCAGCATGTATAGCCTTATAGATTGAAATATAGAAGTAATTTTTGCACTGCTCACTGTAGTTCATGTTTCTTTCACAATAGCTCCTTGCAGAACTTTTTACCAGGGAAGCTCAAGATGTGTAGAAACAGGAGCCCAGAGAAGTGACTTGCCTATGACTACAGACACATAACCAGGTTACTCTGATGAGTCCCAGGTCAGCAGTCTAATTACCACACCCAATCTTTTCCTGTCATGGTGCAGAGGATAACAGTGAGACACATGGTGGTGAAGAGCAAAATAGTAGCCACGGGTACTACTGGTAAAGGTTTTTTTTTCTTTCACAACCAGAGGTATCATTTGATGCAACACTGTCTCAATAGGACCTTCAAGGAAAACTCTGCTATAGCATCATTAATACATTTGCTCTTCCAAATTCATGATAGACAGGAATAATATTTAAATCAGGAATAACTATTTAAATCAATACAGAAAGAATATTCCCAGATGTTCACAAATTACCTAACATGTAAAGCAAACATAAGTTATTGAACATATAATAACTAGCTGTAGTCAAAGGCATACAATTCATTAATTTCATTTGCTCTAATAAAGATTGAAATGAGAGATTCAATAAACTGGAGTTATTTCCTCTCCTTTATGTTAGGCAATCGGTGCCTCCCATGAAGCACATCAGATATTGATGAGATTGAAATTACTTCTGTCAGCTTTCACTGGGGCCAGAACAAACCCAACCAAAAATAAACCAATCTTCTATGATTTTAAATCATGTTCTAACAGCAAAGCGTATCTCTTTGTTCCAGACAGAACAAATGCATGTTGTACTTCACCTGTTTGGAGGCTGGGAGCAAAATGATGAGCAGCATCTTGTGTTTCACAACACTTAATCACATAAAAGCAGCAGACAAGCAGAAACGTCATCATCCGGCTGCAGAAGCGAACATTGCGCAGAACAGGGAGTGTGCTTTCTACCCTGCTCTAGGAGATATTTTAACTTGTTGGGTTTGATAGTTCCTTCCTAAGTAACAGGTCAGGCAGATAGGAATCCTGCTGAGCCAAAGACAACATAGTAACCACAAGGACAAAGCTGAAACACACTGTAAGATGCAAAATCTATAGGAAAGGATGACTCTATTTCCTAAACACACCAAATGGGATGAGAACAAAAACAAGCAAGCAGGTAGGTACACCAACTAGTTTATAGATCTAAAATAGAAGAAACACTTCAAAGACACCATGATGTTTATAGAGCTGTATGTTAGTGTTTATCTTACTGAGCAATAAAAGTTTTATGAAGTGTTTTGTAAGGATTTTACAGTTATACACTCTTCAATTGTTTCTCCATTCCTCACATTACATGGTCCTTACATCTTCTCCAGAGCCAGCCATCATAATTTTCTTCTTTTCAGTAACAGAATTTGCTATGCTTTCTAAAAGTTTTTCTTTCTCCTTTTCTCAGCATATACTGAGATAACATGATGGCTGCACTTCCATCAGCTTTACTGTGACAGAACTTAATACACACACATTCCCTGTTACGTCATTATTTTGTTACTACATTGAAGGAGATTGGAAGATCTCCTAGCTATCAGTATATAAAATCTTAGTTTTCTTTGGCTTGTACAGACACATCTCGTAGTGTAACAACATCGACTCATATCATTACTGGATTGCACTGAGTCAGAATTTGGATTAAAGACTATGCTTTGCATACTTAAGTTTGCAAAACCGAGCCATAGGCTCAGTAGGTGGCACTCTTTTCCCCGCGTCAGAGTAGAGCCGAGGCCCCGTCCTCTTTGTAATTCTCGGGAACTGAACTTGTGCTCCAGTATAATGGGAGACATTATGGAGCCATTAGTTCTCCCTGAAATTAGGTATAAAATGAAGGTCTTAACCACTATGAATAATAAAAAAGCATTTACATCCTTTGTAATAGGAGTTTCAAATTCTAATAGGCTTAATGCTTCCACCTTATAATCACACTGAAATTTCCTCTAAAATTTCAGTAGGATGTGATTTTTATTTAAAAATATTAATTTCAGTATAAACTAGTAATTAATAGCTGCAGTGTTTATCCCGTAAATATGTTCAATGCTCAGAGGCAGGACTGCCTCTAGACAAGCCACAGAATGGACTGACAGGGACCATGTGAAGTTCAGCACAGACTAAAGCAAAGCCCTGCACTTTGACCAGACTGACCTGCCATTGCACAGGCTGGGGCTGGCAGGACACTCAGTGCCACTGAGTAAGATCTGGGGGTCCTGGTGGACAGTGGGAGAAACGCCAAGCGGCAGTGGAGGCTCACACCATCCTGGACTGTATAAAGAAAATCTGAGCTAGGTTCAAGGGAAAGCACTATTTCTCTTTACTCATAATTTGGTAGCCTGTGCCTGGAACACTGTGTGCAGTTTTGGGGATCCCCATATAAAAAAAGATGTTAATAAACTGGAGCCAGTAGAAAGTCAAGATGGTCAGGGGCTGGAACAGATGTCCTCAGCAAGAAGAGGCTGATGGAAACAGTGGTAATTTCAACCAGTAGTGAGGATAATGAAGCAATGAGCAGCACCATCTGATTTCAGGGCTGACCCTCACTTTGAGCAGGAGGCTGAACTAGTGACCTCCCAGAACCTCCTCCAACTTGACTGATACTGTAATTCAAGAAGCAAATCCTTTTAACTCACATAAAAAGAGACTTAATTAAATGACAGTCAGATAGTTTGAAAATGTCTCATAGGAAATATAAGATTGTATCTGTTTCAGATTTGTTGGGCTTTAGTTTTGAGGTTTTGAGGAATTTAGAAGAGCATCAGTCTAATTACAAATAAAGCCATTCCCTTATAGTCACCATTTCCCAGCACTATTACAGGAGAAAATGTTCATAAAAATGGTTTTTATACAAGACTAATTACTTTATACTACAGAGAAATGTTAGTTTCTCCAATACCAATGTATGTTTCCCGTCTTTGTCAGAATTAATCACTCAAGTTTGAAATATTATGCTAGGGCACAACTTCTCTTGGGAAATTTGATGCAGATAGATAGAATGTTTGGAAAGAAGGGGTCCGGCCTATTTAAATGAGTTTTCAAAAAGAAAAAAAAACCCACCCTTGTGCCTCTATTTTACTCTTAATATCTGAGTTTAAAATTAAAATTAATTTACTACTTAATTCAAGCTAGATTTTAGCAAGAGTCAGCTTCTTTGATCTACCTGGGGAGAAAATACATGTTTTTATAGAGCATGCATGTGTAAATACATATGTATACACACACAGTGTGTCATGACCTGGATCCCTGAGAACCAGGAGGAAACCTTGTTACATGAGGGAAAGGGAGGGACCCTGTGGTTTAGAGAAGAAACCACATGTAAAACAAAGTTATTCACATTGCTTAAACACTACTGAAAGAAGCTCAGATGCCATGGTGGGAAAGACAGTGTGGGAATCTATGAAGTACCAAATTTTATGGCAACCTGAAAACC